AATGCGTTGCGGGATAGAAAATAAGAAGACGGAACCCATGTTTTCTGAAATAATCGAGGTAAACTCAAATATTTTTTCAATTAAATTCAAAACATATTTATTAGATATTATTACAAAGCAGTAATGATGTTTATCATTTTATGTTAAATATGAAAGATTACAAAATAGATATCTAAATATTGATAATTTTTTGTTATAAAATAAAATAACAAATAATAGAACATATTATTGCATTAAAAGTTATTAATAATGGTAGTGACACTTTATTTGCACTTAATCTTGAGCGTTTTTCATAAATTGACCCTGCCTTTTTTAGAAAATATCCGCTCAACATCTGGTTTAACAATTGTCTCCGATGAAAATCGCTAAACAAGTAGGTAGTAATATTTTACCAGTTCGGAACTTGGAATCGTGCAATACAATGCAAATGGACATCATCTGGGCAGCATCCGGACTACAGACGGAGAGTAAGACATAGGGAATCGGTACCGGGATTGATACGATTTAATTTAATTTAATCTTTTCTTGATACGAATTTGCGTCCGCGATCAATCAGGCGATTTAAAATAGGTCCAACAGTTTTTCAAAAACTTTATTGTAGTGGATCTTAGGCACAATTTTGTTGCACACATCGATTCTTAGTTCTTAAAACAATATTTATTAGTACACGGCAATGTGCAATCTCATTTGCAATGATAAATACCCGGTCGTTTGAAGATGATTTTCAAAAGTTTGTAATACATTTTCCTGCAAATTGATGCACGATCCGCATTTTTTTGCACTTAAACTGCTTTAGTGTGTATAATTGTGTGTGTGTAGTTTAATTGGAAATTTAAAAGAAGGCGAACAGGCATTTAGTACATGAGCACCCTTTACCTAGTATTAGCAGTATCTGCAGCTTCTTTCTTGATAATTTGTTGATTCATATTGTCCTGTTATCAGCGTTATAAAATAAACTGCACCGAACACAGTAATGTCACAATCAATAATTGATAAATAAAAATCACTGTCAGTTTAATAACGCAATGTGTATTTGAAAAGTGTATCAGATCTACAGATGCACCCGCACTAAGAGAAAAATCTCGAATTCAAAGTGCATATGTGCGTCCCAAGCCTCAGGCGCGAAGAGGCCGGAGTGGGAGCCGCCGTGACCGAGAAAAATCTGTTAACCCTCCCATAAAAAGTTATCACTTCAAAAAATTTAAATATTTTTCCGTGCAAGGAAAGTCAATTTTGAATCACCCTGTACTTTGTTATTTTTATGAAGAAAAAACCTTCAATTCCCCAATTATGAATCAATTCAATTCTAGGAAGTCAGTCAGTTGGCCAGTTCGTTGTACGCAACCGGCACAAACCTATCTAGAAGTGTGAGTTCAGCTGGGGAACATCAAAGCGAAACGTACGTGTCGCCGATTCTACCGAAGCGTGCGGAAACTTTTGGAGGTTTCGACAATAATCAGGCGCCATTGAAACTAATGGGGAAAAAGCTGCATCAACAGAGCGCCGCGGGCGCTGCCCCTACAGCGACGCCCGATTTCGAGAACCTGAAGCCTGGAGATTCAAGACTGTTTGTAAGTACGGATGAGATGAAAATCAATGCAACCTCACTTTCCGTCAATGTTTCACATCAACGAACTGTTGCAGGAACGGTTGCCTTATAGAAACTGTGTGATAACGGGAAAACCCTTGATCAACGGCTCTGCTGTCAATGTAAATAGCAACGCCCCACCGGCGTCACAGCCAATGCCTGCGCAAGGCCAACGGGCCCCAACCAATCAGCTTACAGCGCCCCCAGATGCGCCAGCCTTACTGTCTTTGGGCAGGGAGCAACAGTACGCAGCTATCCAGCTAAGTCACTACGTCTACACGCTACTGTGCATCATTTCACAGTTAATGACTACCAATGGAAGGTACATTGATTTAATGCGCTCTTTATCCAGTGCAAAATTGATGCTTTTTCAGTTTGCAAGCCCAAGTATCGAATATGAAAGGAACTGATAAACAGTATCGACACAATCAGCAGCTTGAAGAGTTGCGGAACTTACAGGATAAGTTGAGCGGCGAAAAAGCGTCTTGGGCCGCCACAAGGGAGCAAGAGGAAAAAGAGCTGGAAGAAAAACGACAAGAACTGCTAAGGTTACAAGTAAGTGGGAAAGATTCTTTTGGGGAACGTTTGAATCATTGCAAACATTTCCAGGAACAAATTCGAGTGGAGCAAACCGACATAACCCAGCAAAGGGATCAGCTTTACAGGAAAATGGAAGTGCTCACTAGTCAAGGTCTGCTGATATCGCCCAACGTGGCCATTCCTGTAACCGGGCAGTTGGACGACAGCAGCAAAGACAGTTCAGAAGACAGCAGTCCTCAGTCTTCTGATACATCTTCTGCTACTTCTGCAGCCAATCCAAGCTCACTCTCTCATTCTGCGTCCACTGTGGACAAGCGCAAGGAGAGCAAATGGAACAAAGGTTGGTCAACAACTGACTCAGTCACATTTAGAAATGTTTTCCGGGCTTTGAAGCCGTGGTCCATGGGAATTTCTTCCTGACGTTTCGTCCACAACTGCGGTGGACATTATCAAAGGCGATGATGCAGTGGGCGAAGTGATCTTCCGTGCTTAACGACTAAGACTTAGGTTCAACTACTGGATCCCCTGTCGTATTTATGCGGCGCGGCCGTGTGAGCGCATGCGTGGGGAGTGGGCGGGGCTTGAAATGTTCCGGCGCACACGCTGCTTGCTGCAAATCGCGTTTCCAATCTGGATTAAGGGCCGTTACCTCTTCTTTCCTATTAAAATTGTTGTCATGTTTAAAGATCTCAATGGCCTCTGGTTAGTCTCGGGTAATACCGTGGCCGTCTAGAAGTGCGTGCTCCACCACTGCTGATTTTTCTGTTTGTCCTAATCAACTAACAACAACTGCATGGAACTCTGTAGACTCCTGGTGCTGATAAAGGATCCCGTTTGTCCTTGCCGATCTCAAAGTCTGTGGGATTGTTCCAGTTGGTTTAAAAACTGTTTTCACTCTGTGTTTCTCCAGTATCCTGCCGATCCTGTCCGTGACTCCATGTATGTATGGGAGGCACGCCCAACCCTTTCGCTCAGTCAATCGATCAAACTTTTTCTTTTGGCGATTGGTTGCTGCAGCTGCTTCGGCCACCATCATCCGTTCAGTTGTTAATCGATCCACCAAAAAACACTGTTCTATGTGTTTTGCAGGGTCAAACGTTCCGAAACAGCATCTGCCGTTAAACCTGATATCGACGACGAATCAGCAAAAGGTGTCGCACACGCAAAATTTACCAATTAAGCAGCAGATTCCGCTAAAACTGGCATCCAGACTGAGCTCGGGCGCGACCGAGTCACCCAAGCCGGGCCAAGGTGGGCCTCAGCAGATTTTACCCTTAAAACTAAGTCAGGACGAGAAGATCAGAAGAACCAGCACTTCGGGCTATCAGCGCTTGTCCGAAAACAGTTTCAGTCCACCTTCAGAAGAGACCGTAAGCTCACGCCATTATTATGACCACTACTAGTTGATTTGGCGTTTGTTTCCAGACACCAACTGGCCATTCGCACATTCGGACGGGTTCCAGTCCGGCCATGATGCAACAATCGCCACCATCGTCCGGTTCTTCTAGTCAGTGCCAAAGTCCAAGTGGAACCAAAGCGACGCGCACCAACACGTACCCGAAATTTCCCGACAAGTTTAAGGTACGTGGCGAACAAGCGCCCTCTCAAGACGAAGAAGTCATTTACTTCTGACGGTTTTGGAAAGCTACGAATTATCTCAGCTCCTTGATCAAGAGTAAGGTGTAAAATGGTGCGGAGTCACAATTCTTTTCGGAAATTGTATCGGATATCGCTTAACTTCGAATATATTTTCTATGACACTTTTTTTACTGCTCCTGATTGGAAGCTGTACTGTTTCTTGGAAACTTCCATTAATATTTACTGAGTTTCAATTGCGAAAATTAAAGTCCTGAGTGGACTGCGTGCTTCCTAAAAAAATGAGTGCGCGGTACGTTCAAAAGTTTGTTAGTTGATTTTACAACTGAATATTTATCTTTGATCTGACGACTTTGTATGGTTTTCCATTCGTTTCAATGGACTCTTTACTCGGCTAGCGATCGAGTGAGGATTTTTTTGAAATGCATTTCTCTATGAAAATCTACTTATCTAAATTTAAGAATCTCTGACAATACCGGCTCAATAGTGCTCTAGTGCTAGTCACTTCATCTCTGGTTACTTGCAAATATTCCATTGCAGTTTTCTTTGTGATTCGTTTAGTGAAACGACTTTTACACTTTTTCAACTTCTTCCTCGACATCGCTCACTTTTACATAACCCCTAATTTAAGATACCTTCCATTCTTTATACAATATTTATGTATTAGTCAAATTGCATATACTGGGTGTCCCATTAATGGGTGAACATTTTCTAGTTCCTAAACTTCCGATTTCGAGTCTAACTTCGGGGCACTCTGTATAGCTATCCTTTGGACTGGTTTTGATCAAATCTTTTGTAAATCACCATTTAAAAGTGCGTATTACAGTAGGTACATTACACAGGGTGGTCCTGAATAAGTGTCATTACAGAAAACTGTCGAGTTCTCATGAACAAAGAACCTTTTTCCTCTCAGTGCTTTCGTTTTCGACATACGCGGTGTCAAAATTTTAATTAATTTTCAATTACTACAGGAATGAGTTTGTACAATCGCTATAACGATTAGTAGCTACTTTTTCGCATCCCACTTGAAGTCATTAAATGTGCCAAATATAGACAAAAATTGTTTTTATCCATAAAAAGCTCTCGAAAATCGTTTACTCTAGAAACACCGAAACCGAAATCTAGTTTTAAGTGGCGTATAAATTAGAGGAAAACCCATAGGATACAATGTGATAAGATATGCACCTCTGACACGTCCAATAAAATGTGGGGCTCATTCTTACAGTTCAAGTTGATAAAAAAATACAAATTGACAGCCTGTGGGTATTCCGAAAACGAAAGCACGGAGGAAAAAATTGAATCTTTTCAAGAGAAATTAACACAATTGTCCGCTGCAACACTTACAAGAGGTGCAATAAAAACGGCATTGCAGGTGAACGCTCTGTATATGCAACTGTACACCGCTCAGCACTAATGGTGATCTACATAGTTCTAGTAAAATACAGGGCGATTTATTGTCAATGGAAAATGCCACTATTTACTTAAACTTTTGGACAAGGCGTTTTTTTCGAATTTTTCCATTGTTGCTTCAGTAAATCACCCTGTAAAGTTTTTCTTCCGTCTTCCCCTCCCCCCTAATATTAACAAAGTTCTCAAACTAAAGTTTCATGACAATACGTAGGTATATTGTTAGTTAGATCTTGAAAGTTAGCGTAACTTCTCATTCCTTTGGCTGTAGATTGTACATATTATATACTCGAGTTTTTTGGATATCCTAACATCGTTTAAGTGTGAAAAACCCATTTTGTGGTAAAGAAAAAAATTATTCTGTTACGTTATGTGCAATAGAGTATTTTAGCGCGTTAAAGGTTAAAATCTATTTAATCGGCGAATAGTAGCGATAGCCTTAGATTTCCTCCTTGTAATAGTTGTGAGTTTTGACCCGGTCAACGTTAAATGTTGTGAGAATTATCAAATGCCTGCAATGTTTAACTGAATTGAGTAACAAAAAGTAATACCTATATGTAAAAAGTCAATAAGCACGTAGTTTCAGGTTGAAAATCTATAGATGGTTATTTGATTTCGATCAAATACTGTTATATTTTATAAAAAATCTATTTTTCCACATTTAAAAGTTGATTCATTGTAATCCACTAGTTTCTATTCGAATATGGCCTATCTGTTGTTGGTTTCTTCGCATTAACAAATTGCTTGTTTCAGCAAATTTCTGACAACGATTGTTCAAAAATATAGTCATATCAAACACAATCAAGTAAAAAACCTTCATTTTCTTTGAATAGATTGATTTTGTAAAACACTCAGTATTGTTATTCTTTTATCACTTATTCGATGCAAATATACTATAGATTTTCCTCGTCATTATTTATTATGTGTTAAAAATAGCAAACTGCCGAAATGTATTCATGTTATTTATTCGTTTGCTACATCCGTACTAAGGAGTGGGCCAAATTGGTTCCATTTATGTACGTTTGATTTTTTTAATAGTTGCATTAGTTCAATTAAATTATTTTTCCATTCTGCAAGTTCTTCTATTTGCAGAAGATGTGATATAATAAGGCTTTCGTATATTTCGCTAAGTCACTGAGTGATTTTCCTCATTTGTAATTCTACGCAATATTTTTATTCTAGTTCACGCAATTATGTAACATCACATTATTTATTCACGAGTCTTTCACACGCTTGGCATATACAGGATGGCTCACTTTTTAGTGGAATAAATAAGGCTCGTTCACTTTATAATGCTATGAAACAACCTATGAATTAATTACGCTAGAAAGTGAGCCAATTATATTTATTATTTTATCATTCCATTCAACATATTGTAATTTGTTTTAAAACATACGCATATTGGGGTAGAAGTTAAATAAAATGTATATTTTACTAATAAGAAATTGAATCATTGGCATGTAAATAGTACTATTTAATGTAAATAAATTTGAATTAAAAAATCTATTGCATTTCGTCACATTTTCTAATTCCACGTTGGTTCAGATAAGTGAAAAAAATGCTACAATAAATAATTTAATTCCACCAGCACCTACTCAGGACATTTTGCTGTTAAATATCACACATACAAACCGAATTAACGTTTACGATATGATCATCGTCATTAAAGGTGCATTCCACAAATAAGTCCTCAATTCTCCATCGATATGAGGCTGAGCCTAATTTATGTCGCAGGTAAGTCGATCGGGGATCCTCTCTTAGGACACTCGATATCAATCGTTTTCGACCATTTGCCCTCTTCAAAGAACATGAAAATCGAGAGAACAAAATAACGATCCTACGCAAGGGTGGAGTTTGATGTAATAAGGGGAATGGGGCCGGTTAATAATATAATATAAGTTAGAAAAAAAACAGCCAGTCGAATGAACGTTTTAATCAAGCAAATTGAATCGGTGCAAACACAAGTCTGCTTTCGAAATTGTCGAAGTTTTGCGTTTTACTTAGATTTTCGGAGCCCTAAATATTAGACAAAACGTCGGCAATTAAAAAAAAACAGGCCTGTTTTTGCACCGATTCAATTTCCTTGGTTACAACGTTGCAATGCATGTGTAATTGAAAGAAAACGATAAACCTTTGACTGGGACGGACCTGCTCATTATCATTTTCGCTTACCTCCGGATTTAAGACGTGCAACTGTTTAAGAGCATTTTCCTCGAAGGATATAGTCAGTGGATGTACAGGCGATTCAGTAATCCAAATGGGCACTCTCACATCGTTTCCCGATATACTTTGGGCCTCCCTATAAAAATCTAATATAACAAATCCATTCAAAACCAAAAGCACATTATTTACTCTGATTCTTCGTCACTCTCGCTGTCGCAAACCAGTTCCACCGCTGTGCCCAGCTTTTCCGTGTAATGCTGGAGAAAGTTGGATTTCATGCCATAATTTGGCTGGTCATATTGAGGAATATACGGCTTGATATCGAGAACTGGAGTTTCATTGACCATGTCAACTCCAGAAAAGTAGATTACATTCTCAACAATCTTTTCAATCTTGACCAAAGACAGTCCTATCGGACAAGGCCGATGTGGGGACCTGGTTGCAAACACTCCCGTTCTTCTGCCATTCAATCGCGGAGGGGCCACCTTGGGTTTAGCATGTTTCGGATGTCGGTTAAAGACAAAGATTATCCACAAGTGGGAAAAGTCTTCCAGATCTTGCAGGGCATGACTGGGATTCGTAAACACTTCATTATTCAGTGTCAGGGTGGCAATTGTGTTTCGCATTGTGATAGTGGGCTGTCGAGGGGTTCCTCTTATTCTGGGAAACTCTGAGTGGATAATTCCTATAGGGCTGAATTCCTTTTCAGCTGGTTTAGGCGGCTTGGATGTGGGGACTATCGATTCCGCTCCAGCAGTCTGCTTGCGGCAATTACTGCATTGCCATTTATCAATTGCGCTCTTCACTATGTTGATTTCGTCGCGTTGAAGATGTTGCAATTTGGATAGTTGCCTCCTGCATAAGATACAGGCGAACTAGTAGGGGGCTGTGTCAATGTTTACTGGGCCTAGCACGTGGAAAATTACCTTAAATTGAATATCTCTTGGCGAGCAATCTTCAATTGCTGCTGTAAGTTGTGTGTTTCTTCCAGCGACGACATTTTTCTAATATTTCAGCACAGGATTAGCGTTACAACTGTTCAGATTAGCCTTAAATTGCCTCTCAGCAATGTTATTTCATCGAGTTTTATAAATACCTATATAGAACAAGACTTGTAGATGAATACGAATACTGAAATTCCCTGCTGAAATACTATTCTGTTGTTTACCGCACAGATCACAGTGACAGGACTAGCGCATATTAGGCCAGGTGACTCCCTGTTTAAATGACATGCGCAAGTAAGTTTGAGGTTACGTTAATCAAAACAAACTTATTTACCGAAATGGGTATGTATCCTATAGAACTATAAAAGCTAGTTATTGTCTCTACGTAAACATACGAATGATTAAATGATTATGAATTTTAAAATCAAGAATATATTCTCTATTACTTCATACTTGGTGCAAGCTGTTTCAAATATGGTCATTGATTCTAATTTAAGGACTTTTTGAATTATGCTAACTATATGTATACCTAACTATTTTCTCAAATTATTGAAGCATATTACGAGAGATAATGCAAGGGCGGATCGAAGGGGGATATGACCTACCATCCAGACTTGGAAGCTGGATCCACCGCTGATGGAAGGGTAATTTAATAGATCTCACAACTGTGGATGGGAGGTGTGACTTATAAAGAAAAACTCTACACAATTTAGGGACCGTTGTTAATAGGAGTAAGTACGTTTAATAAAATACAATTATTTTAATTTCTTCAAATCATATATTAACAACTCCTATAGTTACTTAGTGTACCTAAACAAAATTGTATATATAACTGCGTATATATAATAGTCAAAACTGAAAGAAAACGTTATTA